CTGCGCGGTCCGCCAGTATATATATATATATATATATATATATATATATATATATATATATATATATATATAAACACGTGGACTAAATATCGCGTCGTTGAATGTATTTGCGTTAGTTTTTTTATGTCCTTATTTTTAATAATTTAATAAAAATAAAACATTTCATGAATTACGTGTTTATACACAGTGCAGTTTTTTTTTTATGTGACAAGTTGCCAATTTTAAGTGAATACCGCCGCCCATGGACATCTCCTACACCCGAGCGTTTGCAGATGCGTTGACAACCTTATTGGAAATTGGGGTCCGGCTACCTCACCCACCAGACGAAACGCGAAAATATCTCCCATACTTCCACTTTACGACGGTTTTCTGTGAGGTCGTGGTTCTCACCTAGACGAGCCTGCCCATTCTCGTCTACAACCGAGGCTGATGCTTAACTCTACCACCGTAAAGTTGATTTAAATTTGATCCCAATGAATAAAAATATTATGAAAACAACTCTCAGTGATCACGAAGCAAACATTGCAATAGAATGCTGTGAGTTATATTTCAAAGGATTCCTAGATACATGATCTAGGAATCCTTTGAAATAAAACTTAAAGCCTTCGTTAAACTCACCGGATTCAAATCTTTAAAAATCTATTCTGTTTTCTGTAAAAGAGCGCTTCGTAGGTTTTTTAGTTGCGTATATCTTATATAAGTTATAAACATATAAATTAGGGCTGCATACTATTGTATGAGTAAATATATTTTGACCCTTATTATTAATAGGTATTGTTCTAGTAATGATATGATAACTGCGGTAGGTTCACGCAACAGTTCTCTGTTCCAGGAATGGGCAGGTGCATCAGGGGAAGTACCACGACCTCAGGAGACCGACGTGAAGTGAAAGTGTTATACTTCTGCGTTTCGTCTGGTGACTGAGGTAGCCAGGCAATTTATTAAAAGGCGGAAACGGATCCACTACCATACGGGTTTTGCTTGCGTGTCAGACGCTCTACCCACAGCCTCAACGTAAGGGCCTCGTAATTTTCATACTTCTAGACTAGATTTACAGTTCTGTTGTAAAACTTTAGGTGAACGGAGAATTTAAAAAAGTTATAACTATATAACATACGATTTAAATTTTTACGTCTATGAAATTTTTATTGAACTATTCTATTGCGTTCTTTCTTACAAAATATTATGGCGATTAAAGAAATGGTACTTTCCAAAATTAATTCGCCCTGTTTATTTATTTACAGATGTATCTTTTTTAATAAATGAATTACGACGATATTTGCAAGCCCTTATTCGTGCATTAGCAGAATGTATTTTAAACTTTTCAAATAACAAACTTACTGCGAATTCATTTCAAAAAGTAATATTTTGCTGGTTTGGTATTCGCTGGCCGTTTATAAAAACGATAACAGAACAGTCACATAAAAAATCGTTTATGTATTGAATTCTTATTATTATAATTATTTTTAATTATCTAATCACAAAACAGGCAAGCGGTGAGCTTGTAGCCGACGGAACTCGATTAGATTTCAGTGATTTTTGTACGCACGAATCGAATGACCAAGCAATGAGAATGGAAATCGATAACACGACGTGAAATCAGTTCGGACTGCCATCATTCCCTAGAGCTGTGAAGTGCTAGACAAGACGTCCGAACTAAAGGATAACCCAAAAACACTATTAAAATTGTAATGTTTATTATCAAGTTATTATGCAGCAACGCTATTATATCTTAATCTATCGCCACGCTATATCTCTCTTACGCCCGGTTTCTGAAACACTGATCGTCGCAGAAATTAACTAAGCAGCTGTCAAATGGCTTGTCAAATGTCTTTGAGTTGCCAAAAGGATGATTAAACTTTTCCTTTCTTAAGCTTTCAAATGATGTTTGAACTATATTTGAGTTTCTGAAACACCGATAATCGTAGAAATTAAAATTCTTTTTTTAAAAGCTTGTTTTCATTTGATTCGACAAAATGAAACATCATTTGAAAGCATCTATATGATCATATATAAGCGTCTTTTGATAACATTAAATCATTATTTGGTTACTAATTTCCAAACAATTCAATGGAGAAACTTGTTTTGTCAAACACAAAAGCAAAATTTGTAAAACGAAAAAAGGACTCGTCACCTGTTTAAATAATAGGTAAAAGTGGGAATAAAAACAAAATCTGCCTTCCGACAGCCCTAAAAATATGACTAATTGACCAAAGTCTTTGGTGTTGCATACTTCCTGATGCATATAAAAAACCACAGCGTGGTAGACGATGTACGCTTACAAAGTCGTAAAGTCATCGGGGCGGGAGGGAGATTTCTCAGGCGAAACCAGTTACGGTTGCCGAGGGCGATTTGATTCTTTCCGATATTTTCGCGCGGACGAAAACACAGTTGGTGCCCAGCGGCGGTGTTTCTCTCTATCGTCTTAGATAAGGCGGCCGTGTATGCACTTGGAGAGTTATGAATATTGCATTGTGACGCTGGTTACGGTCGCGGTTTGTTTTTCAATCGGCCGCGATTGTGACTCAAACCTTAACTAGTACAGAGTATGGCCAGGACGTGGTAAATGGGTACTATAGAAAGTATAAATTTATTTTGTTGACAAGCGCACGTCTCCGGATTTGAAAATGATAAAGGCCAGCATAACGATCTTAACTGCTCTGCCGTTGCGAATGGAGTGGACTGACGGACGGAGTCGAGATAGCTTAACATAGAAACAAAACAAAGAAACTATAAAAAACCATAGACTAAATTTTTTTCCGGGAGAAAAAACTCCAATGTTCCCGAATGACTCCTAATTAAAGCAATTAAATTGTACGCATCCAAATATTGAAGAATAAAAAATATAAGAGCCTGAAAGCTGATATTCTACATTTTACTGAACGAGCGTTCTACAGTTTTCATTAGTTATTATTCTTAAATAGAAAAGGCAAATAAGCTAATATAAGATGAAAAAAAATACTAGTTAATATTCTACGTAGCCCATACGGGTACCAATGGGAACAATTTCACTATACGTGCGCAATGTTATTATTACGCCGGGCTTACGTAACACCTGTTGCGAGTTCTCGAGTACCTACTTCCATTCGAAACGGAAAATAAACTAGCAGCCAGAAGGAAACCTAACCGCTTAGATTCTTTATTTCAATTTTTATGTAATGTGAGAATTGTTTCCTGACACTCGCTAGCTTCGGGCTGAGTGTAAAAGTAAAATGTTATTGCAAATTAGGTCCACAAATTTAATGATCTGATCCATGTGCGGCTTAAAAAGCAAGTTGTCACATGTTTTTATCCGACTGCGCCAGAAGGAGGGTTATGTTTTTCGAGAGTATGTATGTGTGTTTAATTGTTTGGCACCCTCTGCAGCCTGAACGGCTCGATAGATTTTAGCTTGAGAGGTGTTGTCAGTTTCGTATTTAGTGTGCGAGTGACACTGGGAAACGCAGTCAGGTTTTTTATTTTTTTAAATTATATTCTACTTGTTACTTCGTCAAGTAAAAAATCTCTGTCTCCTACGGTACAGTAAATACTTAATAGGAGAACAGGAGAGAGGTCCAGTAATATGTCAGTCGTATGCTAAGTGGTAATTTCTTGAAGAGGTTTGAGCGCCAAAAACGATCGCGACACGGACGTGGTAATATCAGGACATGTGCAGCTATGAATATATTTAAATTAATGATAAACAAACAACAAAACTACCGTCGGAAATTATGGATCATTTGATTTAATGAAAATGTAAATACTATATATAGATCTACACAGATAAATAAAATTGGAGTGTCTGTTTGTAATATTAAAATTACCGCTTTCTACTAAATGCATATAGATGTATACACGGTACATATACCATAATAATATTTTTCATAATTTTGGTCTGTCTGGCTGTCTGTTTGTTCTGGCTAATCTCTGATACGACTGGACCGATTTGGCCGGGACTTGCACTGATAGATAGCTGATGTAATAAGGAGTAACTTGGCTACTTTTATTTAAGATTTTTTTTTATCTTAAATTCCACGCGGACGAAGTCGCGGGCACAGCTAGTATCATAATATTTTCATACAATGTATATGATTGTTCCTGTGTGAAGCCCAAACCCGTGGGTTCTGGCTAGCCCACCGGTTCTGCGTCAGATGAAGCTTTAATAGTTTCTGGACTGAAAGCACAAACATCAGTGAATACAAGATACAAGATCCTGTGTGAAATTAGCAGATGCCAGCCTAATATTGATCATGGATTTTTTCATGATCGCAAATTATTATTTTTTAATTATCAACACTGCAATTAATTTGGAATCCAAAAGAAATAAGGCTGTAATTCTATTGTTTTCACTTTTATTCGCTCTCGAGTCTGGAGGAGTTATTGAATGGAAGGGGGAGAGAAATTGCTTCCTACAAATAAAAACGCTTCTTACAACCTGAACGTAATAGAAAAAAATAATTTAATGAGTTGAATTTCAAAACTTTCCAGCGCTCTGCATGTACATATTCAACTGCGATTATATATAATACTAGCTGTGCCACGACTTCGTCCGCGTGGAATTAATCAATAAATAAAATTTCTAAAATAAAAGTAGCCTAAGTTACTCCTTATTACTTCAGCTATCCGCCAGTGAAAGTCCCGTGAAAATAGGTCAAGCCGTTTCAGAGATAAGCCGGAACAAACAGACAGACAGACAAAAATTAAAAAAACTTTATTTTGGTAAATATATATATATGTATATATATATTTAGCATATGCATTTAGCAAAAAGCGGCCCCCCATTTATTAATCTGTATAGATATAGTGCACAATAGGTTTCCTTTATTTATGCTTGAGGCAACCTATAGCTTAATTAGATTTTAGTTGGTTACAAAGGGTGGGTCCGTCGATCAAACGAACAGTGGAAATCAAACGGCGGGGATTAGTGCCAACGCAGTACCTAGCCCTAGGGGACGAGGTATTGGTAGGGCAAAGGTTCAAATCTGGTAAGTTCATACGGGCCTTGGCTCGATAATCCCTCAAAATGCGTCGGCGCGCGCGTATTTTCCAGCGCCCTTATCTTCGGTTTTCGGGGGTCCGACATTCACCGCTGCGTAGAACCCGTGGGGAGTTGGATCATCCGACATCAGTCGCCTGCGAGACGCCGGCGGCCGGTGGCTAATTAAAACATGCAGTGCGTGGTTTGAGGCTACACTTCTTTGTGGGGTTCCGTACCTCAAAAGGTAAAAAAAGGAACCCTTATCCGTCTCCGTCCCCTTGTCCGTCTGTCCGTCTGTCCGTGTGTCACCACCGATTTTAGCAGGAACGGGTCGACTTAGCAAGTTGAAATTTATACCAGATACTGAGGTCTATAGTCCCTATTAGGTGAATAAAAATCAAGGTCCTGAATCAACACGTTAAAAAATATGGAAAAATTTGGATTTTCCCGAAAACTTGTAAGTCGCAAAAATTGAACCCTAACCTTAATTTTCAACTTTTGCCTTTTTTGCCTTGCCAACGAATTTTTGCCTTTACTGATACTGTAAGCTCTTGCTTTTAACCAAAATTGACAGTTCAAGCTTCTTACAGCACAAATAAAGGAAAAATTCCAATAAATAAAAAAGTTTAAATTAAAGGGTGTCCCCATACATACAAATTAAAGGACTAGCTTAATTGACACGTTCTACGTAAGTACACATTTACACGCACACTTTTTCGCATTCAATGGTGCACGTGTGTGCGTTTACACACACGCGCACGGCAGTAATACAGTTGACATTATATTCGTCCTGTGACAATATGTATGCACGGATGATGAATTGATTGAGGGGGTCGTCCCGCCCACCGCCATTGCAAGTAGTACATTGGGTTCGTCAAACGAAAATCTGTATTACACTCAATATGTTGATGCACTCTGGGTGTAATCAGTGCCCGTAATAACATGTAACCTTGCCCACCGGTTTTTGACATGTTTCGAAGTAGATTTTTAACAATGACAGCTCCCCAGACATTTCGGGGTAACTGATATATTTAGGGGGTGGTAAGAGCAAAAACGTAAAGCGGAAAACTAAATATAGATTTGAATACATGTTAGTTGATAAGCTAAGATGATGGAGGCAAACTTTCCCTTTGCCCCGATCTTAATTTGATATGCTTAGACCGAATAATGTGGGTGAACAAAAAAAATAACGGCATAGAATAATTAATTTTCGTTTTAACTCCGATCGATATATACACATGTACGTGTGTTAATATACAATTACTAACCACGATTGAAGCCAACCGCGACGTGGTCATAGACAACAACATCTCTACATGATATAAAACAAAGCCGCACCCGTTGTGTGTACGCTTAGATCTCTTAAACTACACAAGTACTAAATATAGACTAATCATAACCATAGTGCAAAGCCGCTTGTAATCAGTAATTGAAAGAAGTAGAAAATCTATTGTTTCCATAAAAATGCCAATATAAAATAATAATTAAGATTAGAGAATAGATTTAAGAACGGACCATTCTCGATGGTAAACAAAACTGTAATTGTTCACATTGATTCGAACAATCTGAAGTACATTGTAAAAGGTTTTTACATATTGCGTTACAAAGTCAGGGTGCATTTGAACGATTACCTATACCTAGAACATTTTCACTAGGTAAACAAAAACACGAGAGCCGTGATAGCTCAGTGTCCGGGTGCTCCCCTTTAATTCAATATACTCGAGCAACCTTAGTTCGATCAAATTTAAAAGTTTTTAACTTTAAGTGCTGACTTATCACGTGCTCCGCGGTGAAGGAAAACATCGTGAGGAAACCTGCATATTTTCGAAATAATAACAAAAAAATATATATATTTCGAAAATATGTGAAGTCCGCCAAACCGCAGTGGGGCCACGTGGTGGACTATGCCCTGATACTCTCTGTATAGAGGAGGCCTTTGCCCAGCAGTGGTACATGTATTGGCTGTTACTTTACTTTTACTTTAAACAAAAACAAAAAATAATTCTACTATACATTTTTTATTTCATTTTGAGGAGTTCTTTAACTAAAACACCGAACAGCTCAGTGGTTAGTGCCTGGGTGCGGTTCCGGAAGACACGGGCTCGATTCCCGCGAAGGTGAAAAACTTTTCGGCCATTGTTCTACAAATGTTAATGGAAACACATGGTATAAACCGAACTCAAATCAAAAATATATATTCAAATCGGTTCATAAATGACGCAGATATGGGCTTTAAAAAAGACAACCGAATTGAGAAACATTTCGGTACTTATTGAGGTAGGGCCACTCAACAAAATCTGCTGTTGCATGAATGGGCAGACCCGTCTGGGCAAGTAACACGGCCTCACGGAAGACCGGCGTGAAGTAGAAGCATTAAACTTTAGCGTTTCGCCTAGTTGGCCCCAATTTTAAAGGTTGTCAACGCATCAGCAAGCCATCGAGTGTCGTAGATGTCCATAGTATTCATTTAACATCAAGTGAACTAACTACCTGCTTACTTGACGATTTTTCTGCCTGAGTTAAGGAACAGGGTGGGCAAGAGATTTCCATTGAGGATTAATTGCTAGTCATCAATTTCTACGAGCTGTTACAATTATGTCCACCAGAGAATAACTTGTTTTTAATTGTAACAAGTACCATAATAAAGCTCGTGTATCAGCTCAGCTCAGTCAACACATGACATTCTATAGTTAGTTGATGGCAATTCTTATTACACATCATTATTAAAAAAAACAAATTAAATCGCGAAAATTACGAGAAAAAAAAGATAACACCACTTAGTAAACATTTTTATGGAAATAAGAATTATTTATGACGAAACGATTGGCGCAGTTGATGGGCCTGTCTCTTACGTTAAAGGGTGTGGGTTCGATCCTCACTATAATATTGTCTGTGTGTCATAGTGTTTTTCTAGAGTGTGGGTGTTTATTTATTTATAATATGTATTTATTAAAAAAAAAAGTAGTGTTTATATGCTTAAGTAAGTTTATCAGTTACCTTGTATCCATAGTACAAGCTTTAGTTTGTAACTAGATAACCTAGTAACTAATAACCTAACACATTTATTATTATTTTAAGTTTACTTATGCAATTAAGAAATAATTGACCTATTAACATTATGCAATCATAATTAAACGGCACGATGTCTCTTTTCTTGAATAATTACGATTACAAAAGTGCTAAAAGAGAAGTATAAATACGATGACTTAAACAATTATATCTTGCGAGCTTTACGCGGTCTAAAAACCACGTACACCACTGGCGATTGGCTCGGCAGCCTCCTCAGAAGGCATACCAATAAGACCTTTGACGTAAGTAGACCAAGGTGAGGGACGATTAAAGGAATTACTGAACACGTCCGTGGTCCGGTCACCGCCTGACCGACCGCAAGCCGTACAAAAGCATCGTAAGATTACCACCATCATAATCTCATAGTTTCTCGAGTCGTCAGTATGAGCCGCCGTAAACAGGTACAGTAATTAAAATCGCACTCAAACCCGTGGTTTCTGGCTAGCCCACCGGTTCTGCGTTCCGTTAAATGAAGCTTTAAGTACTGAAAGCGTAACACCAGTATTTTGTATAAACAAAAAAAAGTAGCAAAAAGCGTTGACCAGTAACCCTACAAAAATATTCAAAATCAAATTCAAACTAATTTCTAGGCAGCCCTTATTTATTGATACTAGACTTCCGGTTACGGTTTAAAGTTTGTTCTTGCTGTAGTTCATGTTGTAATAATAAAAAGTATTTAATTTGGATACAGTATCGTATAACTTGAACTAGAAATAAAAATTAATAGTAAATGTAAATAAGTCAAATGACGAACTGTCGCGAGCAACAATTTCAGTATCCACTAAATAGCGGATCCCGGCAAACGACGAATGCCGCAATCACATTTTCCCGTTGCTCTTGAATAACCCTCAATTCGAGACGTTGTTAATTGCCCTTTACGTTTTAGCTGTCCTACAGGTTGCATATTACCTAGTCTACGTCAATGGGCTCTTGAGCAAGTTTCATTTCGATGGCTTCGTATTTATAATTGCCAATTGGAATTTTCTGGTTTATTAAAACCGAATACATATAAGTTTTTGAAGAAAGTCTCGTGCTAATATTTTAAACTTTTAATAATACTTATCTATTCAAATATTTCTTTTTTTTAAAAACATGCTAACATAAAAAAATGTTAATATAATATAGACAGCCGACGACAAAGAGAATTTAATTAAATTTCATCCTAATACGTCGGATCCAGATAAATTATATGAGAAGAAACACGAAGCCAGTACTTGTAGATAAGTGCAGTCGTCGTAAATTGACAGGTGTGTCCAAAAGTAGTACTTGCAGTGGCATGACCTTAGGCAGTAAACATAAGTTTGCATACGTATCGAATGATCTACCGAGTTCAGTTTTAAAACTTTTCTTTAAATCATATACTATACACCTTTTTTCATCAAGATCAATGCAAAGTTTATTTATTACTGGGCACGTTCAATACCATGCTCATTACGCGATACTTACAGAAATGTTTCATCGGAATGTTGAATGTTGAATGTGTTTTTGGGAGAATTTTCCAGACCACAATTTCGATTCCAATTTTCTTTGGATATCGCAATTTGGTATAGAATATTGGGGGTATGAAAACGTTATAAATAACTACTTAACAACAGTTAATCAAATATGCTTTCATATCAAGGCAGTGTTCATAGACAAGGTAATTGAGGGGTTTTCGTTGTAACAGTTCAAAAATGTCAATCCTTCAACTAGTGGAGTGATAGACGTAAAAGGGTCACATAATAGTCATGGTTTGTTTTTAAATTGTAATTGGGATTTAAAGTGCCGACTGGTAATGCTTTGCTTTTGGAAATTTTTTTGCTTCATTCAATGAATAATAATGAAATGTTTATTTATCGCGTTATTCATACACGTACCTAATAGAGAGTTCGGTATGTGTTTCTGTTCCCGTACCAGGACTTCGACTGTAACGAACTAACTGAGAATTATTCAGATTTGGGTAACTTTTCATAATGATGGATGGTCAGCAGGAACATTTTAATATTAGTAAAAGATTTATTAATAAAACATGGGAGCTTTCTTTCAAAATTGCAACTTCAGCATTGTATCACAATCATAATTAGAATTGATAAAAAAGGTTATAATTAAATACTAACTACAAAATTCCCACTAACTCACAAAATCAAAGCAATTAATCAAAAAGTTTTTAACAGTTCCACTAAAGTAACGTGGAGACACTTTTTGAAAGCATACTACACGGCTCGTGCAATTGCAAAGCACGGCCCTATTACCCTTTTGCAATTGCGAAATAATTTCAAGTTTTGTTCTTGTACCTACAGCCCATGTCCAAGTTGTTCGGGGTGTAACGACGTAACGACTAAGGGGTTTAGCAAGCGATTCGGGCAAAGCGGCCGTGACGCAATGAGCTGACGCAAAAATCCACGAGACCGCGAAGTCTTCGAAATATATTTGATTTTGGGAAACCGAGGGTAGCAATAATTACAATTAAGCGGTTAAAAATAACTTGACCTTTGAAACTGGCAAATATATTATGCCTAAATTTAAATCGCGACAAAGTCTAAGAAAACTTAATTAAAACCCATAAAAAAATTGATGGTAACTTAAAAAAAAGTTCGCAATTTCTTAATAAAACTTGGTTTAAATTTAGATTTTATAACTAAATAATTTATTACCACATCTGATAAGATTTGCAGTGTCTAGTGCTATCTCTTGTATTATTTCTTAAAAATATTATAACAGATTACGTATGAGAATATAAAAAAAAATCAAAAAGTAGACGAATTCTTTTACATGTCATGTATTTGTCAAAGGTACTTCATAATTTCTATAAATATTAATCAAATTTAATAATTCAAACCATTTGATAGAGTATGTTTGGCGCTATTGACGAAATATAGACAATTAGAATGAAGTTAATATTTTCGTAAAAAAAAAAAAAGTTCGATCCTTTGACAATTTGTTTAAATAATAGATAGCGCAGCAGACTAGAAACGTTATTCTTCAAAAATAATGCCTTTTATTGATAAATACCTATTTAGTATATTACCATTCGATTACTGATCACGATACTTTGCGACAATTTTGCACGGGTCTCTAGAACTATTAAAACTTTCGTAGAACTCACGTTAACACGTTACACACAGTCTCTATATATTATTTCCCAAGGATGTTTTATGTTGGAATGCTATATTTTTTACGGTGGTAGGGCCACGCAGCAGCCTCGGGCCTGTTGCACGAATGGGCAGGCCCGTCCGGGTAAGTACCACGACCTCACAGAAGACCGGCGTAAAGTGGAAGTATGACAAATACTTTCGCGTTTCGTCTGGTGAGTGAGGTGACCGGAGCCCAATTTTCAAAAGGTTGTAAACGCATCTGTAACCCTTGGGTGTGGCAGATGTCCATGGGCGGCGGTATTCACTTAACATCAGGTGAACCGTCTGCTCGTTTGACAACTTTTCGCATAAAAAAAAACAAAAAACTTCCAAAGTTCTTCATCAAATTTAACAATTGAAACACCATTGTCAAGCTTATGTTTGTTGCTATTGGCGAAAAGTGTACAATTTTTATTTTTAAACGAACAGCGAGCAAACAGCTCGCCTGTTGTTGGGTGACGACCGCCGCCCATGGACGTCTTCAACACCGAATAGTTGTGGACGTTCAGATGCGTGTGAGAAATAAAGTGGGCCCCGGTTTTTTACTTCCACCCTTACGCCGACTTTCTGTGTAAACTTGGTACTTCCCCCGACTAGCCTGCCCAATCGTGCAACAGCCGCAGCTGCTGAATGGCCCTACTCAATCAATGTTTTCTTTAAAAAGACCTACGTTTAGAAGATTATATAAATATATATATATCTATTATACTAGCGGATCGGACAGACGTTGTCCTGTACACACGTCTTAAATTCGAAAATTACAAACTTTTTCGAATTCTTTGTGAATCTAAACCATTCTCGAATCCGCCTAAACACACACAAAAAATTTCATTTATATCGGTCCAGCCGTTTAGGAGTTCAGTGAAATACGCACGTACAGAAGAATTATACATATAAAGATATATAGCGATTTATTGGCAATTTTTAGAGACAGCGAAATAGTGATCGTGAATTTTACCTCCAATATTCAAAATAGGATCATAAATTTCAGTGATGAATACTTATAATCTTGCACGTAGTATAAAACAAAATGTTTGTAAGCTTAGATCTTTTAAACTACGCAACGGATTTTAATGCGGTTTTCAGAAACAAATACAGTGATTCAAGCGGAAGGTTTATACGTAGAATAAATGCATATTATAGTAGAGAAAAACCTTCAAATTCAAAATTGCAGCCGTGCGAAGCCGGGGCAGGTAGCTAGTTATATTATAATTTGGTGACCGGTCACGGTACTGTGCAAATTTTTTTTTACGGGTTAACTACTATTAACATAAGCTAGGTATGTAAATCAAACTTTAGAAAGCCCTAAACGAAAGTTATTAAAATTATGAAAATATTAACTTTAATCGCCTATTGTTCGTCATTAACAGAAAAAGAATTGAATCATTAAATATGTTGAAGAGCTATGGAAGTAGTGGCGTACTAACAAAAAGGCCTTGGAGAAATTATATAAAAAGATAAAGTTATGACTTGTAATTAAATTTCAGATTTTTTATACTGTTTGTTCATACTAATTTTTTTCATAACTTGCGAGATTTAGATTTGAAGTTTCTTTCACACAAAATCGCACTACGAGCGTGTATCACGATGAGTTATTTAGAAAAAGTTTTACTCTCTTAAAATATAAATACTTTATTATTAAGTCTAAATTAATATTTACTATATAACCCATTTTACTCTTATATATTTCGGTTAAAGGGAATAATAAGAAATGCATATTCCATACTCAATTCAATGGATCGCAAGATTTTGTTACTTCTAGACAAAATCACACAGTGAATACACAACTCAAGGCATTACTTATAGCATATTTTTTATTCTAAACGCTTTTAAAATATTGATATGAATTAGGTACTTTTACGGCTATTTTAACAACAATGCAAAATATTCAAAAATCGCCGACACGCAATACAATCACCGAAGCCGTATTTATCATCGCGAGCGAGTATGCACGAGCAACAATTCAATTAAAGAACATCTCGGGAGGACGGAGCCGCGAAAACTTGCGCTGGATCATCGTGAGCGGTCTCTCGCTGTCAAGGTCTACTCACTGGGTCAGCCCGTACTGGTAGTGAGGCGCCGGCGGTTGCAAATCGTGCAGCTGCATGTAGAACTCTTGCACGCGGGCGTACTCGCGCGCCATAGCGCTGCGGCCACAAGCCGCGCGACCGTTCGACACGAAGCCGCCGCCAGACTGGCGCGAATACACCGCTGCCTTGTGCATTGCTCGGCCGTTCGGGAGCAACCCTTGCGCTCCGCCGCGGTCACCCCCTATTTGTAGACTACGCCGGGCGCGAGAGGGGTGAAGGCGCGGGCGGCGGGCAGTGACGACACGGGAGGCCTCTGACGCGATTCCCGATTCCGTGATACGCGTGATCAACAGCACTTCGAAAGCAGTCTACGCAAGACCTAAAAATGACCACTTTTTTTCTAATTCAAAACGTGACGTTTTAATTTTCTTTATTCCGAAACGATTAAAAATTAAGATACAAAGAAAAAAATCATTAGTTCACTATTTTTTATTAAAACAACATTGGTATGTTTTTAAATATTTTTATATTTTTCAGAGGAACAAATTAGTTTTAATAAAGAAGGTCACGATTTTATATAAGAATAAAATGTGGCACGTTTCTTTTGACCTTTTTTATCAGAATCGCCTTCAGAACTGGAACTGTTAAATAACACCAGCCCCACTATGGGAAACACTAAACTGCGTCAGATGAAGCTTTAATAGTCTCGGGACTGAAAGCACAAACATCAGTTAATACAAGATACAACACTAAACTGCGACACTTTTCGCATCTGACATCCGGAGGAGTGTTAATTTGCTTAATAAATGGGTATTTTGTTTGTAAGTTGACAGTAAATGAACATTTGGGTTTCGGCATAACTATAGGAAAAATTTCAAAACAACAAAACGTCAAATTATCTACAAAACTACTTAACGAACATTACACAAAAACAAAGTCAGAATACATACGCATGGCTTGCTTATTGAAAGAAACAAATGCCCCCCTCCCTCTCCTCACCGCGTTACTAGGTAACCGAGAGCGCGTGCATGCGGGGAATAACCGGGAATAACCGATCACGGTTCCGCGCTGCTCATGATCATGTCTGACGAGCGTAGTTTTAAAATTTCGACAATTTTGCGTCCCTAAGGTTTGTTCGAGGACAAAGGGACAGCTTTCCGAGAAAAGAGACAGTCCCGTTCAAAACAGGACGTATGGTCAGTTTACCCATGTACCATTATAGGTGGCCTTGACAATAAAACGTTTTGCGACCAAAATCTTATTTATGATCACGAATGCGATATAATAAACTACACACTTTTTGCCTTCGTGAAATGATATTATGGATTTCTATCACAGATACGTTTATACGCACGGTGTCAAAGGCGTCGGACATACATTATTTATGTCCACAAAGTGTAAATAAAGCGGTTGCTAGCATAACGACTAAGAGAAGTAAAAAAGAAGCAATGAATTATATAGCGAGCCAAACACTTGGCTTAGTGGTTCAGTTCGTAAGGAAATAACTATAATCAGTTACAGGCCTTCTGTCTCCATCTACGCATTTTCGTTTACGCAAAAAAGAGATGAAGCTAACATTGTCATGAGTTTACGCTCGCTCACAACCCCTACATTTATATCATATGTTTATTATGAGACGTTTTATATGAATATCCAATGTAGCAATGATCACCGCGTATGCGCCGATTTCGGAGCTTAATTTTTCTAATACAGCTGTTTGGTTTTTGTCAAGTTTTTTGTTAGTTTAATTCCAACCTGTTCTTGAGATTACAAGTTAATTGTGTGATGAGCCTATTTTTGGACTAAAATTAATTTTCAGAAAATTATATAACAGGAAGAAAATTAAGCTTTGAGAAACTGAAGTACAAATATAAAAAAGGCCTCCTCACTTCAATATTGTTAGGTCCTTTAAATAAGTTAATAACTGTCTGTATAATTCGTACATTTTTCTAAAATCTTTCCTTTTAATCTCATATTTTTCCTAACGTTATTTAAGGACGGTGTTTTGTTCACAGCAAGCTTATCGAAATTACGAATTTCGGCACCATTACCAAGCTTCTACCAACTTTCCCGCGTTCCTCTGACAGGAAAGAAATAGCGGCGCGAATCTCCTGTTTATGATAAGCTCCCTACCCCACGCGACGCCATATAATGCTCGTTGATTTTAGCGAGCCCATTGGCCCTGCGCTCGATAAGGGTTATTAGAGCTATTACTGCGGTAGGACCACGCAACAGTATTCGCTGTGGCACGAATGGGCAGGTCCGTCCGGGTTAGAACCACGACCTCACAGAAGACCGGCGTGAAGTAGAAGTTTTACACTTCTGCGCTTCGCCTGGTGATCGAAGTAGCCGGGGCCCACCTTATTAAAAGGTGGCACATACCTGCAACCGGTGTTGCAAATGTCCGTGTCCGCGGCGGTTATCACTTAACATCTGGTGAACCGCCAGATCGTTTTCCACTTTTTCACATAAAAAAATTATAATATATATCATCTTACATACATTAATTAAACGATTAAGTCTAAGGACCGAAAGCAAAAACAAGTAAAAATAAAGTAAAATAAAAGTAAGAAATAAAAACGATTACAAAGCTTGACATAAGAAAACTTTCTTTGGGTTGCCTGATCCTAGGCAATCTTGCTCCTTTCTGTTATAAGTTAAAGAGTTAAGTGGTAACAGTTTCTTATTATATTATAATTTTGTTACTGCAATGACATGAAATATTTGTACGAAGAAATATGAATAGCATCTATACATTATCAGATTGTTTCTTTGATGATGACGAGGAGACAACACGTCACATAATTTATGAATGCGATGCTCCGGTCAAAATTAGGCGTCAGAAAACTGGTGAAGCACAGGTTGGCATCAAAGAAGTCTTTAATCTAAGAAGATAGAAGACCTTCAACTTCGTTGAAATAAAGCTTTTGACCGACACCTCGAAAACTATGCAATTTAGGGATTGCGGAGAATAACATTTCTTTTGTTTCCTATAAACTTTTTAGTAAAACTTACCGCTTACGATTTATGGATCGTTTAGAAGACAGGTTTTATCTATCTCGGCCGATAACTCTTATAGTATTAGATTAACCAAGGCGTAAAGTAAAAAAAAGTATTATATGTATCGCGAGGTTACCGGAGCCCACTTCATTAGAAGGTGGCAACACATGTCCATGGGCGGCGATTATCGCTTGAATTTGCAAACTTCTCACATTAAAAAAAATTGAATCTTTTATTTATCCATAAGAACTTTTCTCTATTAATAAAATATTCTCGATTTCTTTTCGTCTCCGACTGGTATGAAATACAACATCGCGATCTTTATAGTCCTGCCGTGTGTGGCAAATAAGGATATAGAATTCTCTGTCTAATAACGAGTGCGAGGCGTGCGGTATCGTCGAACGGCATTCTATTTCCCATTCTGGAGAACAATGCTTGGATTAAACCGAAAACTGAAAAGTCCGCTTTAAGAACAGGGGAATTAAGGAGCCGCAAAGGAAACGAACGCAGAGCTTAGAGCGACGCACCGCCCACTCCGCCCCGCCTACAATTCCGCACATTGGCCCAAAAATGAGCCACCTTGACTTAAGTTAGAAGACGAGACGTTTTTATCTATCCCACTGTTTCAAGGAAGTGTTGAAATGACCATAGTAGATTATCATCAAAACGGAAACGGCCGGTTTCTCATACACTGATCATCGTAGATGTCAACTAATCAGCTGTCAAATGGTTTTCAAATTTCATTTTAGTTGCCAAAAGGAAGTTAGCTTTCGATACTCGTTAAAGATTTCAGTTGGGCGCTAGGGCCTAGGGTTTCGTTCCTATTTCAGAAGTTTTGACAAGTAAATGTATATAAAAAAACAAACAAACTCCGCTTAAGACTGGTCCGCAAGGGAATTAAATTAGCTATATGCACGTGTACGACTGTCCAGATGCTATCAGAAAAAAGTTCATTCATTCATTCATTCAAGAAGAATATGGCAATAATGCATACAACAGAATTGTTGCAGACATTTTCCCAAGCACTTAAAAGTGGGCTCCCAGTTAACTCATAGTGAAAGTACTATCTATTTTTTATGTGGTGGTGGAACTTCCATAGTACCGATGACCTTTTTGTGTGGCCGTGGTCATTATTAGGTAGATCGTAACTTTATCCACTATAATACAGCTATACCTATGTATACATTTTTAATTCCGGTCTTAGAATTAGCAAGGAAATAAAAAACGATGCCAGCTTACTCCCACTGACAGTTGGCATTAATTAATATTGACCGTTCAATTGGTATTTCGTTCGAAAGTCAGCAGTTCAAATCAAAATTTAGAGCGCTTATATCCGTAAATTAATGTCAGGAATTCTGATTATCTAGGCTTGAGTAATAAGCTCATTGTCCGGGCGCTCGCTTTTGGTTCAACATATTCCGTGCAATCTGAATTCCCCCGTGATGACTCCAATGAAATTTATAATTTTAGTACTGATTTATCACGAGCCTAGTGGTGAAGGAAAACATATAGGCATATTTTCGAAATAATAACAAAAACATATTTCGTTGATATCCGCGACCGCTGAAGACCGCCAATCTACACTTTGTTCGCATGGTGGCCTTTGCCCTAATACCCTGTACAGAGGAGGGATTTAAGAAATAGTAAGTAATATGGTAGGCCGCACTTCACCGCATCGTTAAACAATAATATTCCTAAATCCCTTTCGTACATTTTATGTATAATACATGAGATAATTATGTTACGAGATTGTTTAGATATATATAAAATAAGATATAATCTAAAGCAATTACTACTTCAGAAAGCGTTTATGCTGGAGAAGTAGTGGTGGAAGTAACGCTTCTATCATTAACTGGGGAAAACATGCCAGGTACGTAGCGGAACCTAGTGTATGTTTGCCGCACTCGCCAGCGGTGTTGAACGAAACAGTAAGGTGTGTTCTTGTGTGTTCCCGAAGTTGGTTTATCCTCTGGATGGCGATGGTCGTCTCATCATCAGGGAAATCGAGAACGTAGGGATCTCTACGTGACGGTACCGACGACGACGACGGCGGGAACAGGATTTTTTTTGTAATTTATTATAAAAAAAATTATACAAAGAGCATTCTTACATAGCTATTCTCGCCAAACTTTTACATTTGATGGCGAGACACGCTCAATTTTCAACATAGCAACTCGCTCACGTTATATAGCAT